CTGTTGTCGTCCACCGGTGAAGATCGATTTTGTGGTATAATAGATTTAATTAAAGAATATCAACTTACATCAAAAACTCGAGAAATATGCTTTGATACAACATCATCGAATAAAGGATTGGATAAAGGATATTGTTTCAAGAATATCTAAAGAACTAGATAAATATCTCCGTCAAATAGCCTGTAGACATCATGTGAACGAACTAAGAATGCTTCACTTTTGGAAATTAGTGACCAATGATAAAACGAATGGACCTGATAATCCTCTTTTCAAAAAATTAAAAATTATTTTTGAAGAACCTAATTTTAATTATCATCCAATTCAACTCTTATGGTTTTATTGGAATAATGTTAAAAGCAATTTTTTAAAGAACCATATAAGTACAATAAATAACAAAATATCAAAAAACATAGGTGCTCTTTATAAAGCTAAACCAATGCTCTCACAATCTAATCTTAAAATTTTCTACTTTTCTTATATTCAAAGTTATTTAAATTACGCTAACATTGCATGGGGGAGCACACATAAATCTAAATTAAATTCTCTAATTCTGCATCAAAAACATGCATCAAGAGTTTATAATAAAAATAAATTTACTCATGCCGATCCTTAACTTAAATCTTTAAACGCACTATCAAATTAATATATATCAAAATATTTTATTTATGTTGAAATACAAACTTGGACTAGTTCCAAACTACTTTTCTAATAACTTTTTTTAAATTAACGCTAATAAGTATACTACAAGAGGAACGGGAAATTTCACGTTGCCTATAAAGAAAAAAGAAAAAAATTTCGCAATATGCAATCGTATACAGTGGCCCTTACCTATTTTTAACTAATTCATACCCCAAAATATAGAACTTAGTAGTTCTGGTAATCTTTATACTTTGAAGAAAAACCTTAAACATCATAGTTAACTCAACAAATTTTATCAATATGTTTTAAACATATTTGTCAAGAAAGTGAAAAAAAAAAAAATAATAATAACAAAATCCAAAATTCTTATACAGCACCTACTATTTTTTAACATCTTAAAATATTTTTATGTGTATTACTCTAGTAATGTCACTTAACAAGTTTGCTTTTTAAATTTTTACTTATCTTATGTCTCAAAGGTTCTCGATGACAAGACTTCTTCAAGTCTTCTGCGAGTTTCCTTACAACATCACAATTATTTTACCAAATTATCTTATCAAATTTATTATCATGAAATATATTTAAAACATTTACTTTATATTTAACACAGTGTGTTTGACAATATAATTTTAATGATTTGTATGTGTATACATTTATTGTTGTTTTCTCTTTGACTATATATTATGTCAAGAGAAGGAATTGTAACAGTAGTTTATAAAGTTGTAACAAATCAAAAAGAAAAAATAAAAAGAAAATAAAAATGCATCTGTACAAGAAGGTATGTACAAATCCAGCTGTTGATGTTGTATTGGAATCTTAGTATAAACATTGTTGGTATTTGGACTCAACAATGATACCTCTAGCTTTGCTAGATGATTATTTAACATTAGAGAAAAAGACAAAAATGCATCAGCAATTTTTTTATTTGACATGCCTAGCTCTGACTATAATAAGCCTGAGTACAAAGTATAACAAGATGGTAGTGGTGTAGTGGTAAGAGCGGTAGTGGTATAGCGTTAAGAGCGCTTGCTTTGTAAGCGAGAGGTTCGGAGTTAGACTCCCACCATGTCCCTGGAAGTACCGCGCTTAACTTAATTTCTCCGCGCAGCGGCCTTGTTTCTTAAGGTTCGTGTTTCGGAGTTAAAGAGTTGAGAGAGGGTTGTACCACGATATACAAATAAAAAAAAAATTAAAAAAAAAAAAAAAATGAGCAGCCTCCTCGACTGTAGTGACCCCTCGGGCCTTGGGGAGGTGAATATTATATATATATATATATATAAAAAAAAAAGATATCAAGAAAATTTATAAAATGAATATAAATATAGGAAAAAAACCACCATCCTTGTCTGTCTTAGTTGATGACTTTTCTTTTCCTGATTTTTGACATGATTGGTCTTGATAAGCAACGAGTTAAAGAGTGGCTCTCACTTCCACCAAAATATTGGCATACCCAATCTTGCTTTAAAAGTTTTTAAAAATATGCTGAAACTTTGATTTTTGTAAATGACCATTCAGAACGGTCTATAGGTATGATGGCGCAGTATATTCAAAGATATTCGAATGAAACTGAAAAACAAAACAGATTGCTCACTGTAGACAAAGTTCGATCTGTATTCAGATCACCAGAACAAAAGTCTAGTAAAATTTCAAAGATTAAGTTAAATGATGGGCTTGGTGTGATTCAAAAAAAGATAAAGAGATAAACCTGATTAATACATGAGATAAACCTGATTAATAATAATGTATTGAGTTTTTATCTGTTATAATATTTTAAATATACTTTTACTTAATATACAATTATCTTTTTGTTTATTTATTTCAATAAAGATAAATAGCGGTTTTTTCAATGTATAAATGTATAATCGTTGCCCCTCGTCGATGTTTTGGAATAAAATAGAAGGGCTCTTTTATGTTTATATACACTTTTTCTTATTTATTTAATTAGGGTTATTATATTGTTAGTTACTTAGAGTTAATATTCGTATATATATATATATATATATATATATATATATATATATATATATATATATATATATATATATATATATATATATATATATATAATATATATATATATATATATATATATATATATATATATATATATATATATATATATATATATATATATATATATATATATATATATATATATATATATATATATATATATATATATATATATATATATATATATATATATATATATATATATATATATATATATGCAGGCGCTATTCTAGATCTTTTTTTTTTTTTTACAATATTAGCGATTTTTTTTACAGAAAATTGTTTTTTTTTTTGGCAAATATTGTATATTTTAAGGGAAATATCGTTACAGATTGTTTTTTTCGAAATTAACATTATTTTTGAAGTTTTTATATAACTTTGCTTTATATGAGTACTAGGTTGACACAATTTTGAATATTATGAACCAATTAAATATTTGAGGGTCTTGAGGAACCCTTTAAATTATTTTTTATTCAAAAAAAATTTAAACTTAGTGTTTTTGTATTAAGAAGAACACATTTAGGGGGTGAGAGCAGATTATTTTCAGAAAAGGTGTTTTTTGGGACACCTTACCCCCCCCCCCCCCCCATAAAATACAAATTTTCATGATTTTTAATACCACGAAACATAGATTTTTGAGGGTTAATAAAAAAACCATACAGTTTTAAACTAAAATATAGGCCTTCATAGAGTAAGTAAAGAAAAAAAAATTGAAAAAAATATATATAACCCCTCCCTCAAGACGCCCGAAAATGGCCACTTTTCGATCCTTTTTTTCCTAAATTGGGCTTGAGGGGGGTCAAAAGTGGTCCAGGAGCGCTCAAACTTTTCGAGGCTTATTTTCTGGATATTTGCTTTAAATTTAGGGATTTAGGGGGAATAATTTCTTTTGTTTTAACAATTTACTTTATTTGAGTCTCCCTAATATATATATATATATATATATATATATATATATATATATATATATATATATATATATATATATATATATATATATATATATATATATATATATATATATGTATATATATATATATATATATATATATATATATAGAAGGTCTGCGCTATGAGGAGGGGTGACATTCCCCCCTCCATATCTATAATTTTTTCGTTCTTTAAGTCGGCAAATTTGACTCTTTATGACAAATGGACGAGGACCTTTTTTTTTTAAGTCGGCAAAAGTTGTTTTTTAGGTGCCCCAAGAAAACCTAACGGTCTTATCACAGAGCACTGCAGAAGTGCGTTTAACCAGGAAGTTTACGCCTTCTTTTTTACCGTGACGCAAAAATATGTCCAAAGCTCGTTTCGAACCTAGATCTCCTGCTTATTAAGCAAGTGTTCTAACTGCATTACGGCCGCACGCCGTGGGTGCACACTTAAATTTGATAACAATTTTTTAATATCTCGTCTATTAGAAACAAATATTTCTTTTACAATCAACATCCACACTCAACAAATTCTTGCTTATATCAAACACACCCGAATTTATTACGAAGATATTTTATGGTTTTCTCACAAGTTCAACCGGTGGCCTCAGTGAGATGTAGTTGGAACACACATGGATTTAAACCAAACGTATTAAAATCGTGTTTAAAACAGTAATTATTTCTGAATAATTTGTTTCCTGCTATTCAATGAAATGTATGTGAAACCAAGATTTTCTTGGATGTCATTTAATAGGTTACAATAAAAGACAACTCTTCTGATATTGCCAAAACAATGATATGTTATACGATTAGGCGCAAATGTTTGGAAAACTAACTTTTGCGAGTCCAATTAATAATCATTTGTTGTTAAATTGAACCAGTTTGTAAACTTTTAGTTTAAAAAAAAAAACTGTTTAAACACATAGACAGTTGGTAAACTTGGTTTAGAAATTTTATGCCTAATTAGTTTTAGATAATCTTCTGAAACTATTAAGGCATAAAATTTCTTTTGTTTTGTTAATTAATTATTAATATTTGCAATAAAAAATAATGATCCAGTGCATCTGTTTAAATCAATTCGAAACAACTGTCATAAGGAAAAGACCAGAACAATTTATTTATGCTTATTTATAGTGGTAAAGCGCTCACTTCGTCAGCAAGAATTTCTAAGTTCGATCCCCATTATGTCCCTAGTTGTTCCGAGCTCAACTTGTTTTTTTCGCGCAGCGGCCATGTATGTCAAGACTTTTTTTAAATAATTTTTTTTTGACAATCACACAAAAAAATTTGTTATTTGTACGTGTTTTATGTTATAAAACTTAATCAATAATAGCGCATGGTTAGCTTCAAATTATTTGTAAGCAACCTCAATCCTGTTCCTCTAATTTGTTCTTCATCGAGTTTTGTTAAATATAGTTTAAACTTGTGAAGCCAAAATTTGGTTCACTTATTTATTTTATTCACTTAGTTATTTCTATTTTACATATAACTTTTTCATCATAACACGATTGTTTTTCTAACGTCAAATCCCATGGAAGCTTGCCGTTGTCAATCATAGATTTTTTAAGTAGAAATTCGTTACATGCAATAATAAGAGCCGGATGTGAAACCATGACATCTTTTTGATATTTACAGTTGTTGTTGTACATATAAAAGCCCTTGATTCCACGTACCGGTATTTCTAATTTATATAAAATATTTCAAACGTCAGAAATTGAAAACATAATAAATAAAAAGGTATTATAACAAAAAATAAAAGTTAATTAAAATAAATTATAATAATTAAAATAAATTATAGAACTTTTATTGATTTAACGTTTAACGCTATAATACTATTGTAATATTGAACGTTGAATTAATCTTTAACAAAATTACTATTATAACAATAGTATTTTTTTTCACATTAATGATAACTGTAAAGTAGAAAACCTACCTGCTTGATATGCAATTTCTCCCACATATGCGTCATCTATTCTTAATATTTTGTTTATATCAAACAGCTTTGTCATCTTATAAACACTAGAGTTTGTTAATATAAAGCCTCCTCCAGAACAGTACGTCTCGTAAATATCTTTTTTAAACTCTTCTTTACTTACTTGATATCGACCAAATTTTCTCACTTTTGCTTTGTATATCTTATTACCAAAATATCCGTCTATTATATCGTTAACATTGATAAACTGTATTACGTTGTCTATGTTAACAAACGTATCATCGTCACCTTTTAAAAGAGCTTTAAACTTGACGTAATTTTTTGCCCACGTTAGTCCTACAATTACCTTTTTAGTTAGCAAGTAAAAATCTTCAAATATATCTAAATATAAAACGTCTCTTCTTATTCTCGCTTCATCTGCTATCTCTATCATTGATTTGGCATCGGATGTTCTAGCAACAACAAAGACTAATAAATACTTTTTAACTGTTACCCAATTAAAAATACTTCCCCAAGATTCTCTAATCCGATCTCTTCTTTTTCTGTTATTTACGTGAGAAGATATAATAATTAGTAATGTATAAGTTACTGTGTTATCTTTTTCAACGTAATCAAATATAATGTGAGAAAGTGCTTCATTTTCTTTTGCAAGATAATCAAATGGAATTTTTGTAGTTTGAACTAAAGTTGGTTTAAGCTGGAAGTATTCTTTCATCTTGGTTGATATAGAACTTGTTTCATCATTTTCTTCATTTGTTTGGTTAAAAACTTTGTTAAAATAATTGTAATGCTTATCATTTTTTATGTTCATATCCAAAAAAACATCTTTTATTTTATTATTTAAGTAAAAAACTCCCCATATTGATACAACTGATAGCAAAATTACTGCCGTCCTTCTATAAAAAAAAAGTTCTGTTATTCTCATTACTGAACCTTGAGAGGTTTTTGTTCTTTAATAAGAAAAATATTCTATTGAAAAATTAAACTTGATATTTGTTACGCATAAAAATTAATTTGATGCACATGCGTGATAGCGTAATAACGTGAAATGAGTCAGCTTTTTTTTTATTCATAAAACCCAATACAATGCTCTCAAACAGTTCGCGGATAAATTAAAGTTTAAAATAATAGCTTTTTTTTTAAAAGAATGATTAAAATTTGTTAATTTTCTACGTAACATTAATTGAATTTTAAAATATTGACTTCAGATTATCATATATATATTTAGTTACAGTCATATTTGTATTTTACAAATAAAAAAATTATAATAAAAGTAGATGCAATTGCTAAAGAACAAAAAGGATCTTTTTAAGAAAACATATAAAAAATAAATTTTGCATTCTTATTTTCTAGCAAACTCTGCAATTATACTTGGAGTAGCCGTTACATAAAGTTACCGGACAAACGCAAAACTTAAGATGTGCGTTTGTCACAATTGAGCGTTTGTCACAATCGTGATAATTTTTAAATGAAAAGTGCAATTTCTTTAAAATTTTTACTGGAATGTCAAAAAATTGATGACAAATCTAAAGACAAATAAATTTTTGCTAATTCTGAGGCAATCAAATCTTTAAAGTTTATTTTATTGAAATTTGCGCGTGTATCTGGCAAGAACTAAAACAATCAAATTCAAGTACTTTTGTAGACTTTTATTTAATTTTTAGAAACGGTAAATAAAACATAAAGTTTCTTTAATAAAAAAAAAACATTATTTTAAATAAGTTTTTAAAAAGAGAAATCTTTAAGTTCATTATCTCTTGTAATTCGTATTAACGTTAGGAATTAAATAATATGATGGAAACAATTACAAACAAGCACCAAATTTATTAAATACATTTATAAGAGAAACCAATCTTTTATTATTTACAAATCTTTTATTATGTTTTTACAAACCTTTTATTGATTTTTTTCCGTCATTTATTAACAAAATATTTTACATATAAAATAAATTTATTTTCTTAAACAAAACCATTTAAGATTATTATTTTTGACTCCGTAAATTTCAAGTTTGTAAAGAAGAATATCATGGTCCAAAGTATCAAGAATATGATGAATATGATGGTCCACAGTATCAAGAAGAATATGATGGCCCACAGTATCAAGAAGAATATGATGGTCCACAGTATCATGGTCTATAGTATCATGGTCCACAGTATCATGGTCCACAGTATCATGGTCCACAGTATCATGGTCCACAGTATCAAAGGGTAAATAAACTAGAGATTAGATATAAAACTAGAATAAATTAGAGAGGTCAATAAACACTCCAAGAGTACATTGGTTGTTTTCAAACCCATTTAATATTTCATTAACTAATTTAATTACTGCATGTTCTGTTGAGTGTTCTTTTCTGAATCCGTACTGATTGTTATTTAGAACTTTGTGAGTTGTAAGATAGTTGTAAAGCCTATTATGCATTATTCGCTCTAGAATTGGGAGTATTGAAATAGGTCTGTAATTAGATAACTTTTAGATATCACCATTGTTAAATATTGGTACTACTCTAGCTAGTTTCAAAAGATCAGGAAAAACTCCATTTTTAAATGAAAGATTAAAAACAATAAGGAAGGAGTACTCAATAATATCAAAAACCTTTTTAACAACCTTAGAGTTTATATCATCATGGCCTGCGCTTTTGTTTGGTTTTATCGTGTTAAAAGCAAAGCAACGTTCATCAGGTGATACCTCAAGCTCATCCCAGTCCTTTTGTTTTAGATATGATTTAATTTTTTTTTTCCTGGTGTTATTTTGTTTCCTGGTGTTATTTTTTTTCCTGGTGTTATTTTGTTTGCTAGGTTCTTACCTACGTTTATAAAAAAGTTATTGCAACTGTTTGCAATATCTTTTTTCTCATTATTTTTTGATCTGTCATCCTCAGTATATAAATATTTCGGTAAATAATTACCGCGAGTTTTTTTCTTCTTTTCCTATCACTTCCTTTATTATATCCCAAGTTTTTTTGTTATTTCCGATATTAGTTTGTAATAAATTTAAGAAATAGTTTTTTTAGCGTTTTTTTTTTCATGTTTTCAAACAGGTTTTTGCAAGTTTTATATTTTTTTTTGTTTTGAGTTTTTTTTTTTTTTAACATGTAGTTTTCATTTCTTCTTAGGAGATTTAATAAGTCCTTTCGTAATCCATGAACTTTTTATACTTTTAAGCTTGGTTTTAATTTTCTTCATCGGAAACGCTTTGTCGTACGCATTAAAAAACTCGTTGTAAAAAAATTAATAAGCTTAATTTGCATCTTTACAATTATGTAGTTGTTTCCAGTTTACTTTGAGTAAATAATTTCTGTTGTTTTGAAATGTTGTTTTGAAAAAAAAATTTAAGAAACGTTTTACATCGTTATCAGTTTTAACATTACGAAAATTTAAGTTAAAGTCCCCCGTGATGTAAATTTGTTTATCTTTTACTTTTTATATATACCATTTTAAATGTTTTTGAAAAGATTTTTTATTTTCGCATGGTGGTCTATACAAAGCAGTTACTAAAACGTTTTTTTATCGTGGTTTAAATATTCGATAGTTAATGATTCATCCAGATTTTGAATGCTGAAATTTCTATTTTCTGATAATGGTTTAACTCGTGAATAAAAATGCATACACCGCCACCAACGCTACCACCTCGAGTTTGGTGAATTGCTTTATAACCTAAAATTTAAAAAGTTTTTTTTTAATTTTTACACCATGTTTTAATTAAGCATATCAACTTTCCTAGAGACATTATGTAAATTTTTAATTTACATAATGTCTCTAGGAAACTTATATCGAATTTCCCACAAAAAAAATATGCTATTTCTATACCACATTGTAAATGTAAATACCTTTAAAATCTGCTCGTATTAGCCAAATTTATTTAACACGGTTTTTAGGGGAAAAATTAAAAACGGTAGCGTTATAAATAACAACAAAGACGTGTGAAGTCTATTTTTGTATATAGATAGTTTTGTTTATATAAATTTCAAATCTTTTTCAATAAAAATAGTGACTTTAGTTTAAAGTCGTATTGTGACCAAATGTGATCAAGATCTCAATACATTCCAACTGTTTTAAAAAGTTTTTTGTATTCGTTCTGAATAGCTTCTACACGTGGAAGGCGATAAAATCCTATTAGTTTCTTGTTTGCGTTTTTAGAATGTCTTTTTATTTTAAAATCATTTTAGAAAAAGGACAGCTAAAGCTAATAATTTACACTTTTTTCTTAATAAAAAACACAAACAATGCAGGTTTAAGATTTAGTTTAAGACACTAAAAATGTTTAAACAAAGTTAACATTTTTATTTTTTCCCCTACAAATAGACACAGGTTTCTGACATGAATTTGGCTAATAAACTTGAATTTTTTTTCTTAAATGGACATCATTTTGGTCTCAACACCTCCTCCCTCTTGTCAATTCTTGCCAAACTTTTCAGTACCCCCTCCCCCTTATATTTACTGACATCAGTAGTAGGAAGATGACAGTTCTGCCTCATTTTCATTTTCAACGATATTTTTAACCATTAATTTAATTAAATTTATGTTACAATGTCATCCATAGTGTGTATAAATTGAATAATTAAGAAATTAATTTTTAAATCAATTTTTTTTAATTTAAAAATCATTTCTCAAATTAGTGTCAATTTCGTTTCTTGTCGTCGCGGATTTTTTTGTGTGACGTCATCGGCCACTTAACTTGTCAGTACGCATTCGCCGATTTGTTTATTCTAATTTTCTTCTTCTTCTTTAAATAAATTTTCAAAAAAATTTATGTCATTTTCAAAAAAATTTGTGTCATTTTCAAAAAAATATTATGTCATTTTCAAAAAAAAAATGTTTTTGTTCATAAAAAGTACCTTGTATTTCTTAACCATTATGATCAGTTACTTTTAAGTTGGTGGATCTGTGTACTTAATCTGTGATACTCTGAATACCTTTTCAGTCCATCTTGGTGTGTATCTTTTTTCAAACGATCCTTTCTTTTTAGTTATTCTCACTTTATTACCTATTGGAAAATTGGGTTTAATAAAATTTGATCTCAATTTACCATTTAGATTTAGAAATACTATATTCTCATTCTTTTTATCGCTTGCTTCAACTGGAGTCATTTTAATTGAATAATGCTTTGTATTGTTGTATTGATTTATCATTTCATCTAAAACATCGATGTATTTTCTAGTAGAGTTAGCAGAGAAGTACTTGAACGTTTTCTCTTTCATTGTTCTGTTCCATCGTTTAACTACACAGCTTTTTTCTTCATTTTCAGTCGAATAGAGATGCACACCTAATGCTTGAACATGCTTGTTATAAAATTCTAAGCCTTTATCTACCCACAATTTCGTACACATTCTTTCTTTAAAGATTTTATTGAAAGCATGAGCAACTTTAATTCCAGTTTTACTTTTCAATGGAGCAATCCATACGTACTTTGAAAATACATCTATCATCATTAATAAGTATTTTATACCGGTATTGTATTTAGAAAAAGTGTCAACTAAAACAGCATGTCAACTAAAACAGCAGACCATATGTCATCAATCCCATTTAAAATTACTTTTCTTTTTCTAAAATGTTTTACAACAGGCTTATGAAGTTCGTTTGCAAGTTCATCAGTCCATTTCAGGTTTTTGCTTTTTTTGTTGATTGCTGCTAGTTTTTTGGACCTACACCCATACCGAACTCTGCTTTAGCAGATAAGATAGGTTATATAATCTTTCGTTCCAATTTTTCACGTGGTATTGGATCTTGTATAGAATCCATTTGTTTAAGCATTATTTCAACAGCTATATTTCTAGTTGAAGTATCTTAATTATATTTATAAGCAAGATCATAAATAATGAACCTGATGATGAATATAACCTGCTTTATTAACTCTATCTACTGGTTTACTACATTCTTTAGGTGTATCAGTAGAAGTTAATCTTTTATCTAAATTAGTGCCAGGTCCTGCAAAGTTCATACCTGGTAAATGCATTCCACCTGGAAACTTTGCCTATGGTAATTTTT